AGCCAACCAAAGACCGCAGAGCTACGGGGTCATTCCCAAAGTTATTAATTTGCGCAACGCGCAACAGTCAGCAAGCCAAGAACATTCCTCTTCCGTCTCGGTAAAAAAGGAGAAATTTAGCCAGCTCAAGGATCTCATTACACGGGTTGAAGCTCCCCCAAAAAGAAGTCGTTCGAGAAACAACACTTCTCCAGCCGATGAATGGATGGCCCATAATAAAAGTTTATTCCTTGACCTGCTCAACAGGGGCAGCGTGAAGGAGCTGCAGAAAATTCCCGGTATCGGCCCAAAGACAGCCTTTACTTTGGTTATGCATAGGTTAGTTGATATTGTATCTAATTGAATTTAGTCTTATCTGACTGTTGTTTCCTCAATTATTTAGATCTCGCCTGGGATGCTTCCTGAATCTAGATCAAGTAAAAGACCTGCCAATTTGGCCCGGAAAGAGCTGGAATAGGTTTAGCCAAGCCAACTGCTTGGAGATTTGATTAATACGTATATAAGATCAGTTTTACGTTCAATTATCTATAGGGTTTTTTCTTATGATTTACAAAATCCTTATTTATAAGTAGAACACATACCTTGACACTAACAATAAGGTTTTTGTGTGTAATATGTGTAATATTTCTTAATGTTTTTTGTTTGTTTTTGACTTTTTATCGATTCATGTAAGCTAGATTACTTCTCTAATAAGCTGTATGTAAACCAATGTCTTAAATTAGGTACATTATGTGAAAACTGTTTTATACGGTCATCAAAATAGCAAAACAAGTACGCTTTCCCTATTTGTGAGTATTGCACAGTCAACATATTATTTTATGGAAAAACTTGTTTCCAACTATGTTCGATTAACATTTGTCCTTATTAAAAAAAAATTTTATAGCAGTCGGTGGTTCTGAAGATAATCCAATTTTTAGGCCCATATTTGTAAAATTACCTGTGTACCTAAATAGCATACATTGGATTTAAACTAAGAAACGTGGCGTCGAAATTTTTTTTTTAAAAACGTTTAGATTCTTGAAAATGTTTATATTTATGAAAAGTCTGGGCAAATGTGACTTGTCACAAAGTTTCAAGCCAAGTCTCTGGGTAGTTCAAAGTCACCATCCAAGTTCAAATCAGTTTTAAAGCTTTAAAGGTAGACTAACACATATTTTGGGCTTATGATCCTTCAAAATGTCTTTGAAAATAGTGGTGTTGATAAATATAGTCTTATTAGGAAAAATCCAGTCGTTACCGCCGTTAAATATTGAAGAAAAGACAGAAAATATAAAAACCAAACTAAAGTCACATGAGACTTTAGGTGTTAAAAAATAATACAAAATATAGATTTTCATGTTTTTCGTCTTTGTACAACTGTAGATAAAAGACCAAGAAAATGAGGTGAGTTTCATAAAGGTCGGCCAATAACCTACCAGGATACGCATAGCGACATTTTAATGTTTATATTAAAGTAGTCTGTCAGTATAAATTTGCATGCAACGCATGCTTTTTGCCAAACCAATTCTGATTTTATTTTCATCACTATGCGTGTCCTGGTAAGTGGATCTTCATGAAACACACCTCATTTTGTTTGTCATTTTATCTACTGTCGGACAAAGAAGAAAAACACTAAATTTATTTTTTGTTTATTTTTTAACACCTAAAGTCTCAAGTGACATTAGTTCGTTTTTTTATGTATTCCGTCTTTTCTTCATTTTTTACGGCGGTAGCGACTTGATTTCTCCTAAATTGACTATATTTATCAACACTAGTATTTTCAAAGACGTTTTGAAGGATCTTAAGTGCTAAATATGTGTTGCTGTACCTTTAAAGCCCTAAAACTGCTTTTAGCTTGCATTATGACTTTGAACTACCCAGATACATGGCTTGGAACTTTCTGGCAAGTCACATTTGCCCTGACTTTTCATAAATATGAATCTTATCAAGAATCTAAACGCCTTTTTTAAAAAAAAACTTTCGGCGCCATGTTTCCTAGTTTAAATTCAATGTGTCTTAGGCCTAGTATTCAACCTAACAAAAAGTCGTCCAAAACCAAAAACTTTATATAAAAAAACAACGTTTTTTGTATATAAAGTTTTTGGTTTTGGACGCATTTTTGTTAGGTTGAATACTAGGCCTTATTTAGGTACACAGTTCTTTTTACAAATATGGACCAAAAAGTTGGATTTTTTTCAGCACCGACTGCTATAAAATGATATTTTAATTAAGTTTAAATGTTAATCGACTGTGCAATACTCACAAATAGAGAAAGCGCACTTTTTGTGATATTTATATGATCATGGTTTCATAGAACACAATAAAATTAATTATTTACTTCCAACACTGTTCGAATCGTGTATGTATAAATTTTTGTTGGTATCTCCTAGGATACTTCGAAAGGTACCTAATCCTCGATAGTATAGTGGTTAGTATCCCCGCCTGTCACGCGGGAGACCGGGGTTCAATTCCCCGTCGGGGAGAATGCGAACATTTTTTTTCCTGCCCATTTTAGTTTTATTAAGACTTCTGTTCGCTTCAAACAAAATTTAACACAATGAGAGTAAAGAGCTTTAAAAGAAGAGAAAAATAAAGAAGATAGAATTAAAAGCAGAATCAGAATTAAATTAGTAATAGTGAGATATAAATAAATTATAACAATGAAGATCGGCAAGCCGAAGTTTGTATACCCTTGCCGTTATAATTATTAAATTTAAAAATACAAAAAATGATATGATATGATAGAAATGATAATTATTAAATTTAAAAATACAAAAAATGATATTCCCAATAGTATAATAGGATAATATGTCAAAAAAAACACCGATGCTATAATTTGTTTCATATTTTTTTCCCACCAATTTTCCGATCGTTCCTATGGCAGCTATATGATATAGTCGTCCGATTTTGATAAAATTAAATTCGAAATTCAGAACTTATTACCAGTCCAGTCCTTACCAGTCCAGCATCAGACGCAATACTGTTTTTCTTGTTGACTATATCTACTATTATTCCAAAGCGAATTATTAAATTTGTAAACCAAATTAATAAATATTAAGAAAAACACGGAGTTTTCATTTGCGTCTTTTTAGAAAAGAACTCGGACATTATTACAACATACAAAACATTCACTGAGACCTCTTAGATCTTTTCGGAGGGTAGGCTGAAAAATCGGAGTGTCTGTTCCTAATGAGTTCGGAGATAAGTATATGCAATATTAATTTTCTTTTAAGGAATGGGGATCGTTGGCATGTGTAGCAAGTTGCTCAAAACAGTCGGTATAAAAATATCCGCAAACAAAAAATACCCGTTACTCGTAGAGTAAAACCGTATTCTAGATTCGTCGGAAAATAAGTAACAGGTATAAGGAGGCGTTTTCTAGAGATTCCTGCGCAGCTTGTTTTGTCAGGGTGCCACGGCCACAAGCCGCCCAAAAAAATGCGAACGAAATGTATAGCTCTTGTAAATACCATCAATTGACACTATGTGACGCTCACAGTTTTGATGCTAGAATAATAAATTAAACAGAAATGTATTGGTTTCATTAAAACCTATCGATTTTCCTAAAAAAAAAGTTGCCCACGACCAACTTCCAATTTGAAAGCGGTCATCTAAACGTTATTAACTTTGATCAATTTTCAATTTAAAAGCTGAGTAACGGGTATCTGATAGTCGAAACACTCGACTATAGTGTTCTCGCTGGTTTGTTATTGAATTAGTAAATAGTTAATTAATCTTCTAGTGCAATGTGCAATGATGACTTTACAACTTTGTACCATGTTTATAATTCCCATCTGAGTCCAGAGTATTATGAATGTTTACGAGTACAAGCGATGGGTATGTCCCATTCTACCTCTTTTTATGGTTACATGCTTTTTTCATAGTACCCCTTAAAGTGACGTAACACAAGGGCAACTATCTAATGGGTCAAATTGCCAATTCGATGGGTTAAGCCCATTTTACTATTATATTGACCAATTTTACCAAAGAGTTTTTTGTCTGTATATAAATTGCTTGCCTGAATGAAACTCCCAGCCTTGACCAATTCGCCAACAGCAATGATTGCTGATGTGGTAAATATTCCACTTGCCAGTTTACAAATTGCCTACGGTTTTGAGAGAGGTAAATTTAATTGCTTGTTTATTTCTTATTCGGTTTCGGTTTCCTATGGCTGATCAGCTGATTCTGCAACAGCGACATTCTATATGAACAGCTACATTTGTGTGCAGACGCTATGAACGTGACGCATCGATATAACGATAACGCAACTAATAGCTAACTAACAGAGAAGACACGATAATTTATACTAAATTATATATACTTTTCAGTATACTTTTTATCATAACGCAAGAAATATAATATGTTCGATATTGTGAAAAACAGATAACAGGAATAGATATGAGGGATGATTAACTATTTTTTTTAGCAATTGCCTTCGCTTCAGTCTTCTTTTAATTGTTGGGTTGGCCAAGGAAGCCGCTATGTGTGTTGCTGTGAGCAGTGAGGCGTTTGTTGTACCGACTCCAATGCCGGTTAGTCTTTATTCTAATACAGGGAATGTGGAGGTCATTAGCTAGGGCGTCCTTCCTGATGTACCAAGGCGCATCTGCAATCATAAGCAGCGCCCGGTTTTGGACTTTTATGACGATCGATTCTGACGCCATGCCCCATAATTGGACGCAATACGTCTTTAAGGACACCACAATTGATTTGAAAAGCAAAACTTTGTTGCCAAGGCTGAGCTTGCTCGTTGGCTTAAGCAGCCAGTTGAGCTTACTAGGCTTAGCATGACATGTGAAAACATGTGATTTAAAAAGTGCGCCAAAAAGCTAATGGAATGTTAGGAGGGTGACTCGGCTTTCGCTGCCAACATTTTGGTGGGACTGTACTGTCGGTATATTTCGGTATATATCAGGAAAAATACCAGATATGCCGACGGTATTTCGTATACGATCACACGCAAATGTTAGGAGGGTGTCTCGGCTATCGCTGCCAACATTTTGGTGGGACCGTACCGTCACACTGTCGATAGGTTCGATATCAAATAGCGTCTCCTGATATCGAAAAGCGAAAATCAAAATTGCCCAAAATCGGAGTTTTCAAACAAAAACAACAACGGCACGTCAAACCACAGCCAAGCCAAGCAAGAAAAATTTGGAATAAAAACAAAATAAGGTCTTATGGACAAACTGAGCGCAGTGCGCATTGCCGTCCGCGAGGCGCCTTACCGCCAGTTTTTGGGGCGTCGGGAGCCGAGCGTCGTTGAATTTCCGCCATGGGGCGATGGAAAGGTACAATTATCAATTTTGGGACCCAAGCAACTAACTGTAACTGACCATGTATCTGCAATTTTCAGTCGCTAGTGGTGGAGCAGAATGAATTCCACTTCGACCACGCCTTCCCGTCGACCGTCGGCCAGGATGAGATGTACCTGGCTCTGATCCTGCCGCTGGTAGAGAAGGCGCTCCAGGGATTCCAGTGCACGGCACTGGCCTACGGGCAGACGGGAACGGGGAAAAGCTACTCCATGGGAATGGCGCCTCCGGACAAGGTGGGTTCCAGTTCCTTGCTCATAGCAGCCCTTGATTTTCCCAACAGATCAATTTTTTTTGGGGAGATTATTATAGTTAGTGTATCCCAATAGCTATCCATCATTAGTTGAATGATCACTTTAAACTTTTAGTTTCAAAACGATTTTAAAGCTAGAATATCCCGTGTCTAAGTAGAATAACTCAACCACTTCATTATACCATATGCTCAAAACATAGAACTATGCTTTTAGTGTCAAAATATTTATATTAAAATAGGGTTTTTCTTTCAAATGGCATATATTTTGGCCTAATGATCATAATGGAATCCAACTTTCAATACATATGTATATTCCCTCCAATCCTCTGCAGATCCAAAAGCCCGAGCATCTTGGTGTTTTGCCCCGCTGTCTGGCCGACATCTTAGAGCGTGTGAATGCCAAGCAGGAGAACGAAAAGGAGCCCATCCAGTTGTTCGCTTCCTTTATCGAAATTTACAACGAAAAAGCCTATGATCTCCTGGGCTCCTCACCACATACGCCTATGGTGCGCGTTGCCACAGATGCACCTGCCTTCCCTTGAGCAGCCAAGAGGATCTGCAGGACCTGCTGCAACAGGGCACGGGGAATCGTCGCGTGCGCTCTACCAAGATGAATTCCAGCAGTTCCAGATCACACGCCATAGTAACCATACATGTGAAAAGTAAAACCAGCCATGCGAGACCGGGCGTGGCCAAGCAGGAGGGAGTCAACATCAACCTGGGACTGCTCAGCATCAACAAGGTGGTGATGTCCATGGCGGCTGGCCGCACTGTGATTCCCTACCGCGACAGTGTCCTCACCACAGTTCTACAAGGTGAGTGGAAACGTTCATAGAGTGTTACGCTTCTGCATATTCATATTTCTTAATTTGGTCGTTTTTATACCACCGCAAAACTGTGGCGCCCACAGAACAATAATTTACGAAACCAATACATTGTAGTTACAATTTGTATTCTAGCAATTTTCACATAAATAAATGACAAAAGGTCATTGTATTCCGTGCCGACCGCTGATTTAAAGCATCTGTTTTGTTAAAACCTTTATTGATAGTATAATTATCCTGATTATAATTCCAATATAAGAATTATGTACTTAATCTCCTTATCCTTTCCAGATTCGCTCACCGCGCAATCGTATCTAACCTTCCTGGCCTGCATCAGTCCCCATCGATGCGATCTTAGCGAGACGTTGGCCACTTTGCGCTTTGGCACCAGCGCCAAGAAGCTCCGCCTGAATCCGATGCAAGTGGCTCGCCAAAAGGTGAGCTTCCATACCCATTGCTTCCTAGATATAGTTAAAGTCCACGCAGTCGAGGATCACCTCTCGCATACGCTGTTTAAAAGTCGCCTCGTTGCCCACGCCCAGGAATCCGGCGCCCTGCAGATCCGTGGTGGCTCCGGCCTCGATTCGCTCGCTGATCGCTTGGAGGTCGGGCACATCCTGGCCCTGCATTGTCACGATGGGAAGAACCATCATGGCGAGGAGCAGGCCCACAGGAGCTTTGGTGGCCACTTGGTCATCGAAGGCAGGACGGGGAAGAAGTTGCTCCAACTGCTCGCCTAATCTGTTGCAAAAGTGTAAAAGTTCGAAACACTACCATCAAATCTCTCAGATTTGGTTTCTCTTACCTGTTTAGGTGCAGCCCCAACTCCTCGTAGTAGTCCTCCACCATATTTTGAGTACCGTTGGCGAAAGTCTCGCGAGGTGCATGTGAAGAGGAAATAGGCTAGATCGGTGACCGGGGAGGCATATCGCATCAGTTGCCAATCGATCAGGCGAACATCCTCAAGATCTCCCCCCTCTGCTCTTTTGTAAAGGATGTTATTGTTCCAGCAATCGCCATGGCAGATAACAGCGAAGGGTTCGCAATTGGATCCGCTGATCAAAGGGAGCAGCAACTCAAAGTACGACCCTCTGGCAAAGTACGCCTCCAGGCGAATCCTGTAGGGATCATCCCCCGGTGAGACTAGTGAAGAAAGGGCACTTCCTTTGAGATTCTCAAAGTAGACACCCAACGCATGATCCTCACGTCGCTGCTCAAAGATGTCCACCAGCTGCTGGAGTTTATGCATTCTCTCAGGAAACTGACGCTTCCCGGCCAGAGAAATCGCATGTAATTTGGCATAGGTGCAGATAACCTGACGCACATGCTCGATGGGTAGGTCCAGGAAGCGATTGTGGAGATGGAACCCAGAACAAGATAGGTCCTCCAGCACGATGCATTCGTTCGGCTCATCCTGACGAGTTCCGAAGCAAAGGGCGTGCTGCCGGAAACGATCCTCTGCGGGGCCGAAATCGAAAAGGACAGGCAACTGATGCCCCCACCTGGTGTGGGAAATGGACAGCCCAGCAGCCTGCACTCCACCGCAGTGAGCATTGCCGAGGTTGATGAGCAGGAGGAGCCAGCTGAGATGCCGTCGATCTCTGCCACAGTTCGCACCCAGCTCTTCAGGACAAATGTCAGTCCCATAAGTCTGCGGTCATCCAGCATACTAAAGGAACTCAGCGGGATCCAGCCAATGGAGGAGACTTTGATTACTGTTCCCAAGCAACCGTCTATTCTCCGACGCTCCATGCGTCTAGCCAACCAAAGACCGCAGAGCTACGGGGTCATTCCCAAAGTTATTAATTTGCGCAACGCGCAACAGTCAGCAAGCCAAGAACATTCCTCTTCCGTCTCGGTAAAAAAGGAGAAATTTAGCCAGCTCAAGGATCTCATTACACGGGTTGAAGCTCCCCCAAAAAGAAGTCGTTCGAGAAACAACACTTCTCCAGCCGATGAATGGATGGCCCATAATAAAAGTTTATTCCTTGACCTGCTCAACAGGGGCAGCGTGAAGGAGCTGCAGAAAATTCCCGGTATCGGCCCAAAGACAGCCTTTACTTTGGTTATGCATAGGTTAGTTGATATTGTATCTAATTGAATTTAGTCTTATCTGACTGTTGTTTCCTCAATTATTTAGATCTCGCCTGGGATGCTTCCTGAATCTAGATCAAGTAAAAGACCTGCCAATTTGGCCCGGAAAGAGCTGGAATAGGTTTAGCCAAGCCAACTGCTTGGAGATTTGATTAATACGTATATAAGATCAGTTTTACGTTCAATTATCTATAGGGTTTTTTCTTATGATTTACAAAATCCTTATTTATAAGTAGAACACATACCTTGACACTTACAATAAGGTTTTTGTGTGTAATATGTGTAATATTTCTTAATGTTTTTTGTTTGTTTTTGACTTTTTATCGATTCATGTAAGCTAGATTACTTCTCTAATAAGCTGTATGTAAACCAATGTCTTAAATTAGGTACATTATGTGAAAACTGTTTTATACGGTCATCATAAATAGCAAAACAAGTACGCTTTCCCTATTTGTGAGTATTGCACCAGTCAACATATTATTTTATGGAAAAACTTGTTTCCAACTATGTTCGATTAACATTTGTCCTTATTAAAAAAAATTTTATAGCAGTCGGTGGTTCTGAAGATAATCCCAATTTTTAGGCCCATATTTGTAAAATTACCTGTGTACCTAAATAGCATACATTGGATTTAAACTAAGAAACGTGGCGTCGAAAATTTTTTTTTAAAAACGTTTAGATTCTTGAAAATGTTTATATTTATGAAAAGTCTGGGCAAATGTGACTTGCCACAAAGTTTCAAGCCAAGTCTCTGGGTAGTTCAAAGTCACCATCCAAGTTCAAATCAGTTTTAAAGCTTTAAAGGTAGACTAACACATATTTTGGGCTTATGATCCTTCAAAATGTCTTTGAAAATAGTGGTGTTGATAAATATAGTCTTATTAGGAAAATCCAGT